GTTCCTCCTCAGGTTTAGGTGGAACTTCTTACATTCAAGTTTGTGCCCATTTCCTCTTGTCCTGTCCCTGGGCACCACTGAAAAAAGACTGGCCCCATCCTCTTGACACCCTCCCTTGAAGTATTTCTAAGCATTGATCAGATTCCCCCTCAGCCTTCTCTTCTCCAGACTAAAAAGCCCCAAGTCCCTCAGCCTCTCCTCATAAGGGAGATGCTCCAGGCCCCTCATCATCTTTGTAGCCCTATTGCAGCCCATCTCTGCCTTCCCCTCAGAAAACCTGACAGAAAACCCCAGCAGGAACAGCAAAACCCACCTTTTGAAATGGGTTGCCACAGCCAGGTTGGCCAAGCAGCCTGTTGTTGCTGCTTCTGCTGCTCTTAAGACGTATCAGGTGGGTTAAAGCACCTGCCCCTGAAGGCAGCATGTGCAGAGACCCAGCCCCCAGCAGCCTCACCCCGCAGCGAGCTCTTCCTGGGATGCAAAATGCCCGGCAGTGAAGAGTACCAGGTGGGCAGACAAGGAGGTTTCCACCTCCACCTCCACAGTGCTCGGGAGCTGCTCCCCGGAGAAAAGCAGGAGTGAGGGTGAAGCACAGAGGTAAAGAGCTACCTTGGGGCATCTGCTGTTTTCTTTATGAGCCCAAAGCACTTCCAGAATAGTTGCACGATTGTTAAATAGCACTTTATCTTCAGGCTGGGTAAGAGTGGAAGCAGCTGCTGGTTGCCCAGCGACAGGTGGGACCATAAAACCATCTACCCAGGAGGGAGGCAGCCCGGATCCCTGGGCCCGATGCTGCCTGTACCACACATCCCACCTCCTTCCAGCTGCTGCTGATGTCTCCCAACCTGTCTGGAGACGAAGATCTGACACCTGACTGAGCAGATCAGGTTTGAAAGACACAGGGCACAAAGGTCCCCCCCGAACCACATCGTGGCTCTGGGCTCCTGGCCTTGCAGCTGGGGATGCTTGAGCCAGGGCTGGAAATGATTGCAGAATTGCCTAGGTTGGAAGGGACCTTCAAGATCATCTAGTCCAACCATCAAAAAAAACCAAACAACAACAAAAAAACCGACAAACAAAACACGCACACCAACACTAAACCATATTCCTGAGGACCATGTCAACCCATCTTTTGAACACCTCCAGGGATGGTGCCTCAGCCCCTTCCCTGGGCAGCCCATTCCAAGGCCTGATAACCCTTTCCATGAAGAAATTTTTCCTAATATCCAACCTGAACCTCCCCTGGTGCAACTTGAGGCCGTGTCACATTTAAACCCCTTGGCTGAGTGAGCACCCGCTCCTCACCGGGGGCCTCCTGGGAGGCTTTGCCAGCACGTGGCCCAGAGTCAGGGGGACCGAGAGGGAGGTCCGTGCCCCTCTGTGGGGACAGGGGGGCAGAGCAGACGTGTGGCTCGTGCCCAGGACAAGGCTGGCTCAGTGTGCCCTGGGCAACGAAAGGAGGAGAGAGGTGGGAAGGCTGGCTTTCTGCTTGGGCGTTTGTTTTTCTAAACACTGAATTATTTCCTCCCCAGGTAATCTCAGCGTGACCCCCACCCCTCCGGGCTGCCCCCCCAGCGTGGAGGTGGGCTGGGGAGAAGCAGGCTGCCCACAGGACGAGGCGCCTACGGTAGAGGTGACCTTTCTAAATCCCTGCTTTGGACAGACATTTCCAATAAGTGCTGGAGAAAAGCCTGCCAGCTCCAGCTTTCTCAGCCTGCTCTCCATTTTCCTTCCATCCTCTCCAGGCTGAATTTAATCTGAGAAGGTTCCTTTGAGCTTTTGTGTGTTGCTGGGGGAGATGTGGGCGCGCAGGAGATCGCGTTACAACTTTCATTTCCTGAAATGTTTGAGGGAACATCCAGGGTTTTATCCACACATCAGGCAAAGTTGAGGGCTCGGATTTCAGGTCTTGTCACTCAGCTGTCACCAAACAAATGAGCCTCTCAGAGCTGGAGCCGGAGAGAGCTACCTGCTATTCATGACCCCGAAAGCAGGTGATCACTCAGGGGAGAAGCAGGTAGAATTAATCATTCCGCTGTTCTCCATTTCCTCCCCTTTTTTTTTGCCTGACCTGGACACAGTGTGAAATCTGTCCTGGGGAGTGAGCGGGAGCCGGGGGTGGAGGAGAAGGGGGGGAGGCCGCGAATTAACTCCTTCCTGCCGGTGGAAACACAAAGCAGAGGGAGGTGAGACAAGGCTACACACCCCCCACACCCCCCCAGGGCTGCCTTTGCTGTGAAAAGCTTGCTGGGAGGTCAAACTTAATGGAGAAGAGCTCAGCAACCTGCGCCGGGCTCAGCTCCGGGTCCTCCCCGCTCCAGTCGCCCCACCGGCCCCTTCCCCGGCCGGGGGGGGGTTTGCGGGGGTGGGATTTGCGGGATCAGCATCCTCCTTCCCTCCCTCCCTCCTTGCCACCATCCGCCCCTGGGCAACCTCTTCCCTTTTTCCTGTTAGGAAAAAAGAGGGTTGGGAAGCGGAGCAGGGCTCCGCCGCTTGGGGGGTGGCGTCGGGGCGCAACCTGCGCGGCCCTGCGCGGCCCTGCGCGCTCCCGATGCGCAGCCGTCGGGCCCAACAGAGCCCCTGGCCAGCAAGTCTGCTCTGGGGAGGGGTTGGAGGGTTTGGGCGAAGGGGAACACCCCCTGGCAGCTCGCCCCTCTGCCCCCC